AAATTTCGGCCCGGTCTTATTTTTAGGATCCCCCGCCCCTCCCTTTTAAACTTTAAAAGGAATTCAAATGCGGAACAACCAGTGTCAGAAACAATTGGCTGGGTTTTTTAAATATTTCGGTGAAATTCCAGGTCCAGGCACATTCACACACACCACACACACACACACACACACACGAGACACACAGGCACACAGGCACACACAGGCACACAGGAACACACAGGCACACAGGCACACACAGGCCCGAAAAAACACAACCCCCCCCCCCCCTCAACACACACACACACACATACACACACCATTGGCAAAGGCCGGTGCGAGGGCATCTGTTGGCATGAGCCGCGTGTCAAAGAACTCGATAGCAAACGACTCCACAGATTCAGGAGCAGCAGCAGCGGCGAGCACGGATGCAATCACCGTCGACACCGGTGTCCTTGGCCCCGCCATCACAGACACACGAGTACTGTTGCCTGTGCGGTCTGCTGTGTCAGCGGCGGTGGCAGCTGCGCCAGTGAGGGTGGAAATGTCGACGTGGACGCGTTTCATGCCGGTTGCGCACGTGTGTCGCCAGCGGATGCACATGTCCTCCTCCCCGCACGAGTGCACGATGCGGAGGGCGGCGTCGCGGAGATCACGCGGTGACGGCCCAATCTCACGTGCCGTGTCGTGGGTATGCGAGTAAAGCACACACGACAGCGCCGTGAGTGGGATGGTGCCGAGGTTGCACTTGCCAACCGCAAACGCCAGCACATCCTCCGTCGTTGCCTCTGCCTTTGGCTGCATGACATACATGACGCGGCCCATGCCTGCACACACGTCTGAGCAGTCGATGCGCACGGCGACGGCGCCACCCCGCTTGACAAATGCAGGCAGTGCCGTGGCCCCGCACGAGAGCTGGTGCGCCCCCGTGTGCTTGATCAGCTCTGCATCGCGGTCGGCCGTGAAGAGGAGGCGGGAATCGCGCGCACAGAGGGCGGAGACGCCGGCGAGCAGCCGCTCACGGTGGTGGCTGGCGACGCTGGTGCCGAGACACGCCAGCAGCTGGTGCGGTCGAGAGGCCAGCACGCGCCCGTTCACCTTGCGCCCCTTGCGCCCCTTCTTGGACGAGAGGTGTGCCTGCAGGCACGACAGGTCCAGGTACGCCAGGAACAGCAGCACGTCGTTGTGCCGCCAGCGCTGTACAGGGGTCTGCCGCAAGTGTTGCAGCTGCTCCTGCGTCACGTTCATGGGACGCGTTGGCCCATACGCCGTGCCCGTCTCCAGTGCACGCACTGCTGTTGATGTTGCTGTTGACGCAGCAGCTGCTGCTGTTGTTGATGACGGTGTTGCGGTGGAGGATTTGGGTGGTGCAGGATGGACTGCAGAAGGCGACGACTTGGATGGCGGCTGTTGTTCGTGCTGCTGTTGGTCCTTTGTGGCCGTGCTGCTGCTGGCATCTGACCACGCCTGTTGTCGTGAGTGGGCACGCTCCTCTGTTGCTTCCAGCTGCGTTTGCAGTTCGCTCTGTTCCATCTCCAACAGCAGCAGCACCGCTGCGTGCACGGTTGCGCACTGCTCACGCGTCCGCACGGCGCCCTCCCGCTGTGCACACATGTCGGCGATGGTGGCGGCGGTGTTGATGGGCTCCAGCTGCGCCGCAATCGCGTCGTACATGCGGTGAACAGCGACAAGAACACCAGCAAGGCCCGAGGCACCACGGCTCTCCTCGTCATTGTCACCATCTTGTTCTTGCTCGGCTTCGCTCGTCTCATACACCAGCAGCGGACCTGTTGGCGCGTGTGCAGGTGTGTGCGAAGGTGTGTTGAGTTTGCAAAGGGCGAGCGAGTGAATGAGTGTGCGTGAATGCTGCGAGACCAAAGCCGGTTGTTACGCAGGTGGGCAGAATCGGACACATGCGGACACAGACACAGATGTGGGCACGAAATTCAACTGCACACACACACACACACACACACACACACACACACACACATGCACGCACACACACACACGCACGCACACACAGCACACCCACGCACGTGTACGGTTGCTTCACACCTTCGGCGGCTGCGGCGAGGGTGCGGAGGTGGCGAACGAGGGCTGTCAGGGATTGAAGGTGTTGGCGATGTGTTGACACCGGTGTCGGTATGTGCACGGTCATGTGCAGGACTGGGCGGCGGCGGCCATCGCACTCAATCAGCAGTTGTCGCTGTACCCACCACTCCTCTTCTCCTTTGGATACAAGACCCGCCACAACGCGTCCGTACGTTTCGCTTGCTAGTGTGTTGGGCACACACGATACGCCGGTGCTGTCGTCGCCGCTGTTGCTGTCCGAGACAGCGATGATGGCTCTGACATCCTGATCCCAGACCATCTGCCAGAAGGCGGCTGCCGTGTCCTCGGTCGGTGGCTGCGGTGGTGGTGGTGTGAGTGACGCGTGCAAACGAGTGAGCGATTGCTTGTGCGCCGCGGTGAAGGAACGGAAGTGTCCATGAAACGACACCACAAGCACGAACCTGTAACACAACACAACAAATTACAAGGTGATGTAACACACACACACACACACACACACACACACACACACACACACACACACACACACACACACACACACACACACACACAAAACACCACAAAACACGGACGCGAGCGCCAACCTGGGACATGATGTAACGCCTGTTGTTGTCCACGGCGCCAGAAACAAACGCAGCGTCGATGGGCATTGGTTCCCCGCCCTCAGTTGTCACATGTACACGCGTCTCCTACCCATACAAACATGAATACATGCATGCAAGCAAGCACGCGCCAAGTTGTGCTTGAGTGACCATCGCAGTGTGGTTGTGACTGGACGGCTTGCACGAGCGAACACATCAACTGCAGTACGCGTGGTGTGTTCGCACCTGCGGACGAGCGGTGGATGCAAGCGCCTCTTCAAACTGCTGCTGCATCTCTTCCTCGTCAACACTACGCATGGCCGACACCTGTTCACGCACAAATACACACACGCACATGTGAGCGTGGACGTGGGCATATACACGAAGAACACTATGCACACGAAGAACACAACAGCATGTCACAGTTAAGTAAGGCAAAGACCCAGCGTGTTGCCATCACGTCAGCACTGCTTCCATGTTATCTCACCTGCCGCTGGAGATATTCCGTTCGCGGACCGGAGAAACGCGACGGAGGGCCAGACATCGCCATGCCACCACGCCCGCTGCCACGACCAACATCATCATGGTCACCAGCACCGGCTCTTGTGACGGTAGTTGCGTGCGCTTCCCGCTGGTCGGGCGACGATGGGAAACCGCAGTACTTCTCATCGTCGTCGTCGTCGTCCTCATCCTCCTCTTCACCTGTTCGAGCATCATGGAACTCGTCATCATCTTCATTGTCATCATCATCATCATCGTCTTCGTCAATGACTTGGTCGGTGGTGCCATCAGCAGCAGCAGCAGCGGCGGCCGTGTCGGAGGCGGCGGCCTTTGCTTCCGCCCTCTCTTCTGCCTCTTCTGTCCGCAGCTGTTGCCGCTGTTCTGCTTCGGTCTGCACGCGATCCGTCGTCGCTGTTGACTCTGTTGTTTTCCCTTCTTCTGCTTCTTGCTCTTGTGCTGTTCCTGCCTCTTTCGTCTCCCGCTGCTCTGTATCACGCATCTCTGCAATCGTCTCTTCTTGCTCCTTGGGCGTCGTGAAGTCAACCACCACTGCGCCAGCGCCCTTTGCATCACTGCTATCCTCCTTCTCCTCTGCGCCCGTCGCGTCGCCCGATGGCGTGAGCGGTGATGTGGCCGTCACCACAGACGCCGGCGACGGTGGCACTTCCCCGTACTGTTGGTGCTGGTCACGCTCCTGCCGATGCTGGTCGGCATCGTGTTGGTGCTGCTGCTGCTGCTGGGCTGCCATGAATCGCTGTCGCCGCACCATCTGCGGTGTTGTCGGCCCGCTTGTCTCGCTCGCCAGCTGCCGCCTGTACACGGTGATGGCGACGGTGCCGGATGCGTGCCGCAGCAGCGACGTGGCCTGCTCCTTGCTGGTTGACCTCAGATCACGGCCGTTGATGCGGCACAGCACATCCCCTGTGCGCAGTCCAGCGTGGCGCGCAGCCCCACCCTCCTTCACCGTGCCTGACACGGCGGCAGGTGATGGTTGTGGTGATGGCGGTGGATATGAGCAAGGCAGCCGGCCCCAATAACGCAAAACGCAATCTTGGAAGCGGAAACAAAAGCAAGGTGCTTGCACACGAAGGTGCACCGAAGCACACACACACACACACACACACACACACACACACACACACACACACACACACACAGCCACACAGACACACACACACACATGTGCATACACCCACAGTCACGCACACGAACACACACACACACATGTGCATACACCCACAGTCACGCACACACGCACACACACAATTAAAAGTGTTACCTGTGCAGAGGTGGTACGGGAGATCTGTGCTGCGTTTCTTCTTGATGGCAAAACCGAGGGGACCGTGGCCTTTGTTGATGTGCAGCTGATGCTTCTTCCACACCAGCTTTGGCTCCTGCTCACCAGGCTGCAGCAGTTGTTGTTGCTGTTTTTGGTTATCATCGCCACTGCCACCGCCACCGCCTAGGTGGTCGGCCAGTGCCGATCGCAGTGAAGCTTTGCGTTCCGCCAGGACAAGTGGTCGTTCATCGCGCGTGTGTACGCGGGATTCTGCTGGCAGTGACGCAGCGGCCTCGCTCTCTGCTGACGTTCCTGTGTCGGCAGCGTGTGCGGCCGTGTGCGTCGCCTTTGCGTCACGTTCGCCACCATAAGTGGCGCCGTGATCACCACCCATTGTCGTCGCGGCCCGTTCTTCGTTCTTCTCCGCATCATCCCTTTTCGCGCCTGCATCTGCATCGTCCAAACGTGCTTCCTCCTCATCCGCTTCCTCGTGCACATCGAGTGGCGGTGGCGATGATGTTGGAAGTGGCGGTGGCGGGCCTTCCTCCTCGTCCTCATCACTGCCGCTGCCATCGCGAGCACCGGCATCATCACCAACACTCCCGCCAAGCCGCAAATCCACCTCCCTCCGCTGCTGATGATGCTGCTGCTGCTGCTGCTGCTGTTCCTCTTCGCCGAGTTCGTTCAGCTTCTGCTGCTGACTGTGGCGGGCGTGCTGCGTGCGTGAGAGCGATGGAGATGATGTGGATGACGATGCCGACGCCACATCACCGTCCAACAGCTCCTGTATCAGCGCCTCAGACTCCTGCCGGCGCAGCGTGTACTGTATCTGCTTGCGGACGCTCGCGCTCCGGGAGAAGGTGTGCTCACCGCCGCCGCCAGACCCGCGTGCACTCGTCACTTCGTCATCCTCGCCCTCACCGCTGTCGCTGTCGGCACCAGTGTTGGAACGATCACGGTCGCGTGTGCCGCCGACGTCCTCATCGGCTGCTTCGCCGTTGGCAGGTTGTGCCCTGCCGACGTCCTTGGAGGCGCGCGTATCTCTCTTGCTGCTGCGACGCGATGATGACGCACTCGTGGTGGGCTGGCAGCGTGCACGGGGTGTGTTGTGAGTGTGCGTGAGTGTGCAAAGTGGGTAAGAAGGGAGGGTTGCTTGCGCGCAACGTGAGGAAGGAAAAAATGCGCCCACAAACGGCACACACACATACACACACACACACACACACACACACACATGCACACATGCACACATACACACACACACACACATACACACATACACACACATGCGCGCTCACACACACACACACACACACACACACACACACACACACACACACACACACACACACACACACACACACACATGCATCCATACAGCGTACCGTGGATGGCGCTGGGTCGAGTTGAGAGAAGCGAGAAAACGTGGGCCGCGTCGGCGATGGCGGCGCTGCATGCGATTTGGTGCTCGCCGTTTGGGATGCTGCTGCACCAGCCGTTGTCGCTTCCATGAGTGACACCTGCACATCGGCCTTCTTCTTGTTGCTGTCTTGCTTGCCGTTCTTATCCTCCTTCCCCTTTGACATGCGGGCTGCGCGGAACAGGCCTGTTCTCCCCGTTCCTTTCTCTTTCCCCTTCTCCTTCCCCTTATCTGCTTTGGCATTGTCCTTCTTGGTGGCTGCAGCAGCGATCGCTGTGGTTGCGGAAGTGCTGCTGGCTGGGGAACGTGTGGTCTTGGCAGTCTTTGGGTGTTTCGCTGCTGGCGAGGGAGTCGGGGATGTAGGTGCGTGTGTCTGCTTCTGCTGTTGTTTCGGGGACGGCTGCTTTGCACGCCGTTGTGCTGCCTTGGCCGCTCGAGCCTTTGTAATCACATGATGGTGGCGGTGGTGAGGGGGGGGGGCGAGAATGGAAAGGGATAGCAAAGACGTCGTGGACAAGACAACTGAAGCCGGAGTGATCACACACACACACACACACACACACACACACACACACACACACACAGCACACCTCGGACTGTTGTGCGAGAGCGACCATGTGTTCGTGGCGAGCCTTGTCCTCTGCCTTCTTGCGCGCACGCGCTTCCTCCATGCGTTTGCGCCGTGCTTCTGCATCGGCCGCAGATGAGCCGCTGCCAGGCCGAGCTTTGCTGGATGGCGTCCGTGCTGTCGCTGGCGCTTTCGCCCCTTTGGTTCCACCAACAGGTGCATGCATGCGTGCAACAAAGGATGAGAGTCGGCGTCTTTGTGTCTATGATGAGAAGGTGGGGGGGGGTGACACTACAACAGCGATCGGATCGTCACATTGCACTGCACTACTGACCTGGTGTTGGTAAACGGCGGCCTGTTGGAGGCAGTGCGATATGTGTGGTTCGGTGAGAGAGGAGAGAGAGAGAGAGAGAGAGAGTGTGTGTGTGTGTGTGTGTGAGTGCATGTGTGTGAGCGAGTGTGAGTGCATGTGCGTGTGTGGATGAGTGTATGTGCGTGTGTGTGTGTGTGTGCATGCATCATTGTGGATGCTGGCAAGATGCTGCATGCGATACAGCAGAACAACTGCAACCACACTATCACACGGTCAACGCGATCAACGTGCTCTCGTACTCTGCTTCTCCCAAAACACCCCACCTGTGCGACGACGAGAAGAGCGAGCAGACCCTGTTGTGGAGCTGCCACTGCTGCTTGAAGACGCCGGTCGTCCCTGCGCTTGCTGCTGCTGCTGCTGTTGGGGCGTGCGCGGTGTGCGCGCACCACCACCACCACCACCAGCAGTTGCTGTGGCTGCTGTCTTTCTCTTCGCCTCCATCTTCTTGTTTGGATTTGTGCGAAGAGGAAGAAGAGGAGGAAATCACACACTTCTTCCCTGTTGCTCGGCTTGTCGCTTGCCTTGCTGTTTGTGCGTTTGTTGGCGGAGATGGCTGATGAGGAGGCGGCCGCACTGGCCAAGTTTGAGGACGCAAACGACATTGCCGTGGTGCGTTGTGACCGTGTGTCTGTCTCTGTGTGTGATTGTGTGTGTCTGTATGTGTGTGTCAACAGTGGCCCGAGTGTTCTCACATCAACACTGTCACAACGCTGCGAGTTGTTCACGCTCACCCTCAACGCTCGCCCATCCAAACCTGCAGGTCGATGATGCGGACCAGGTGTATGCGTACGATGCAGACAAACAGCGTGAGGAGATGCGCGCCGAGCCGTGGCTCTCCAACCCTTCATACTTCACCAAAGTCAGGATATCCGCCGTCGCACTCATCAAGATGGTACGCGCGCGAACGTGCAGCACCTATTGTGCATGCGTGCTCCACCAAGATACCCGTCACTATCACCCTTGTTCGTTCACCCATCATGAATGCTTGCCTGCCTTTGTCACACTGACCCAAGTTGCTCACTATCCTTCCACCTTCGTTCCTACGCTCGACAGGTGACCCACGCCAAGACTGGTGGCCGGCTGGAGGTCATGGGCATCCTACAGGTGCGTCTTTGGTGATGAGAAGGGAGCTGGCTGCACGACGCTCGTGTTTGGCGCTTTGTCGACTGCTTCCTCTGTTCGCTTATCCTTGCCTTCCTGTCTTCGCCCGCCTTTGCTCGTGCACAGGGCAAGGTGGATGGGGACACGCTCATTGTCATGGATGCTTTCGCCCTCCCTGTCCAAGGTGAAGACAATGCAACTACAATTGTGAGAAGTGGTCGGCAAGTGCTGGATGCAGTCGCGCTATTGCATGTTCGCTGTTCAGTGCATTGTTGCTCAACCCCTTTGCGTGATGCATGCTCCCATTCTCAGGCACGGAGACACGTGTTAACGCGGGCCAGGCCGAGTATGCTTTTATGGTCCAATACGCCGACCTGGGCAGCAAGGTGGGTTGTGTGTGTTGTATGTGTGTGCGTGCGTGTGTGCGTGCGTGTGTGCGTGTGCGTGTGTGTGTGTGTGTGTGTGTGTGTGTGTGTGTGTGTGTGTGTGTGTGTGTGTGTGTGTGTGTGTGTGTGTGTGTGTGTGTGTGTGTGTGTGTGTGTGTGTGTGTGTGTGTGTGTGTGTGTTCGCTGCTGATACATGGCATGTTGTCGCACGCGTGTTCAGATTGGGCGGTACGAGAATGTGCTTGGCTGGTACCATTCGCACCCCGGATACGGGTGCTGGCTCTCTGGCATCGACGTCGCCACACAGCTCATGAACCAGCAGCACCAAGACCCGTGGCTCGCCATTGTGGTGCGTTGTGTGTGTGTGTGTGTGTGTGTGTGCTGTACAAAAGTGTGTGTGTGTGTGTGCATGTGTTGTACACGTGCGTGTTTGTGCGTCATTCTTGGTTGCTTGTCGACCTGCCTGCCCAACCGGTCCCTTGCACGCGTGTGTACCACCCACTTGAACACATGCTTTTAATGACGTGCTCTCCTTGGTTGTCACCACCGCCTCGCCCATCTGCAGGTTGATCCTGTGCGGACACAGGTCGCTGGAAAGGTGGAGCTCGGCGCGTTCAGGTGCTACCCAAAGGTGCGTGCACGATCACTTGAAAACACGCAGCGTTTTGTGATGACCATGTCAGCGCTGGCTGTCGTGCGCCCAGGTTTTGATCAAGCTTAAACACTTACACACACTTACACACACACACACACACTTACACACGCACGCACGCACGCACGCACGCACGCACGCACGCACGCACGCACGCACGCACGCACGCACGCACGCACTCACTCACTCACTCACTCACTCACTCACTCACTCAACTCACTCACTCACTCACTCACTCACTCACTCACTCACACACACACACACACACACACACACACACACACACACACACACACACACACACACACACACACACACACACACACACACACACTCTCTCTCTCTCTCTCTCTCTCTCTCTCTCTCTCTCTCTCTCTTACACACACACACACACACGCACTTACACACACGCACCAAAGGGCCATGAGCCGAGCAAGACGAGCGACGCATCGGAGTACCAGTCCATCCCGCTCGACAAGATCGAGGACTTTGGTGTCCACGCAAACTCGTGAGTACCAAAGCACTGTACACGCAGACAACAGCAAACAACAGCACGCTTGCGCCCCTTCCCATACCCGGCCACGCATGCAAAGAAGCATACACACGTCAACCATGTCAATCATGTCACTGTGTCAGTGTTCCTGCTGCACATGTGGCGAATGCAAACCCAGCGTGATAACTAGTCATTCGACTTAACACCCCCCCTCCCCCTCCGCCACAAAACATTGTGTGCAACGTGATGGCAAGGGCAGGTACTATCCTGGAGGTGTCGTACTTTCGGTCCAGCCTTGATTCTCGCATCCTGCAGTCGCTCTGG